GAATGGCAGGAATGAGACCGCCCCACCACCTCCTGCTGCTAGAAAGCGAAGGAAGGAGAGGATCTCACGACATCTATTACGGCATTTACCAAACCAATTGCAATTAAGTCATTCAAACCTCATACTAAGAGAAAGATTCTAAATAAGTAAAAAATACAAAGAAGACAGCGAAAGAAATGGATTTCGCACCAGCATACGCAAAGCAAAGAGTGGAAAGGTGCTTTGTACCTCACTCCGCTAAGCAGCGATAATTGTACTGAAGCTCTCTTTCCAACGCCCGCCGATCGTACTACTACATTCTTAGTGTGCTAACCAGATATCAAAAGAATGAGCTAAGAGCCATAGCAAGATAGATAGCGTTGGCGTACGGTTGAGTGAGCTCATAAACTGGCGAATCAATTCATTTGAAAGAGAAAGTAGGGTCTAGCGGATTCCCGAGTTGACTAATGATAGATAGGTAGGAATGGCAGGATCTAAACGAGCTAGGCTTCATTAGCCAGTTCTCCTTTTATAAGCTATTGCCGCTCCCCTCGATCCGGTGATAGAAGAGGGGATTAGGAGCTTCCCCCTCTGAGCTAATATGCCTTCATCCACCTTGACCATATTCCGTTCTTTCAAGGTAAGACCCACCTTTACTAGAGCAGAGCTGCCTTATTTCCCGCGTGGGATAAACAGAGAAGAAAACCCCCACTGACTCCTCAATATTGAAATGGATACTTTCTTAGCTCGCGAACAAGCACGATAGACGAATTAGCTACTACTGATTCTTACAAACTTAGTTCCGTTCGCTGCCGGAAAGTTGAAGCAAAAAAGACCGACTCTCCTAAAAGTCAGTGGCACGTTCCAGGATCAGATCAGAAAGGGAGTTTGAGGTTTCTTTATATAGATTCGCCTTTGTTACAGAATCGATTGTTCAAGAAGGAGCTCTTATACGGTTTATGCATCGAATGCAAGCTGCTAGAGATAGAGAATTGAGGGATGACCCGTGAGGTAAAGCCAGTCAGCCCTTGGTGGTTGGACCAATGCAATCGGATTAGCAAACAGTGGGAATCCTTGTTCTAGGTCATGTTCTAAGCTAGCGTCTTATTCCGAAGTGCGTTATTTTGCCTTTGTTAGAGCAAGAGACCGAGCAGATGCTCCAAGTCCGATCCAGGTTCTGACCCTTCTTTATCCTGTGTTCCATGCTCCTTGATAGCGAGCTATTTCATAGGAGTTTCATACTTTCCCGATCAAGGCAAGAATCCGGTGGGAAGTTCCTTAGAACATGGGATCTTGTGAATCGGTGTTTAGATGCCCGGTTAGATGCTCTATTTTGGCAAGCGACTTTCGGGAAAAAGAAATCCATAGATCATTGAAAGAAGAAAGAGATTGAGCGTAATTAGTGAGGCAGAGTACTGACCAATAGTGGAGTGAATTAACTTCTTATCGAGCCTTTCAATCTTCTACAAGGACCCACCAAAAACCAAAGGGAGAAGGAACTTGCACTGGAAAAGAAAGAATAGAGCTAGATAGACTGGATGTAAGTACAAGTGAAACCCCAGCAAACTCCCATTTCTCCTGGGGAGTCTTACCTTTTTCTCCAATCATTGAAACCCTTAGGAATGCAGTAACTTCCACTCGCTCGAAAGCATTAGAAATGGAAGGCGAAGGTTAAAAGACTGTCACTGTATTCCTAGAAGTAGGCACTGCAACTCAAATGACTGTATGGGCTTACCCTGGGCCTGCAACAACCGGTATTCCAACAGGAACTGCCCTTACCTTAGGACAGCAACTGTAGCTGTAGCAGGCGGGAGAGGGCCCGGAACTTAGCTTAGAATGTTCAAAGGGTGAGCCGGGGATTACTATTATCTTCCTAATCCTTCTTTCGCACGTTAGACCCTTTTTGCTCCTATGGATAGAGCTAATGGGAATGCCATTACTTCCACGAAAGCTTGACTGCCCGGCCTTCCCCAATTCTCATTGCCTTGAACAGCCTTACCGTAAGGACGAAGGTAATGCAACTGGCTTGGTAAGAGAAGAGCTCACAAGGCTCTTAAATAGAAATAGTCCGTCGAATCAATCCAAATCATATCCGGGACATGGGGACCGGTTCCTTCTTTATGTCGGTTGCGGTGGAGGGCACTTAAAACCAGAGTTCTTGCGGGCAGGCTTCCTTCGAGAGAGAGGGGGGGAAATCTTTCGTAGAAAGACAACTCATAGTCAGAGGCAAGACAGGAGATTAAGAAGTTCATCTTAGAGTTAGGCTCCTCGATTGCATTCTCAATTGATATTGATCAAAAGCATTCCGACCCACTATCTCAAAGAAAGGAAGGGAGAAAAAAGGTGAGCAATTTGTTCTTTTCAATCCGCCCTTACACCTTAGCCTCTTTTACACCTAGGCTTTCAAGCCTGCTGGGGTTCTTTGCCTTTTTTACTACTACTATAAGAGGACTTGCCCTCTATGATCTAGCTCTAGGGCCGGGCCTAAAAAGTCTTTATCTTCTTTTTCTTTGCCTTCATCAGTCTCAATCTCAGAGAAGTGCTTTCGTACCTTCTGGATGTCATTAGACTATTGAATTTAGAGTAGACCTTCAAGCCAAAGCCATTCATATATGGATTCGAATGCTACTCGACTAAAATATAGTGACTAGTGAAGGAGGAAGGGCTTTAGAATTCTCTCTCAAGAGAGGGCTTCCCTTAAGCTTTTTCTGCCTTAAGTACTTTGCCTCTCACGATGGGATTCTCTTTTAATTTAAGATAAGAAGCTTATTATTAATAAGGGATGGAAGAAGTCGAGTAGTTCCTCAAAGCCATGGGTCATTGACGAATGGACCACAGACAGAGGAATTACCAACTCATGGGATTCACATGCGGGGATATTAAGACCAGGATTGATGCCCTGAGAGACGACCAGCAGAATTAGGAAAAGAATAGGAGACTTAATCAAAGACACAGAAGGAAAGAACTCTAAGACAAGAAGAGGAACTTTAAGATCGTTCGTGCCACATAACGTTTGAGGCACTTCACTCGGCCATACATAAATAAAAGATAAATAAGGACTTAAGAGAGATCAACTAACATAGTCGTCAGAAAGGAATTGCGACAAGCAATAATACCATTTCATTTACTCGATGACAGGAAAGGATGATACCATTTACTCCCTTACTGGAAATGACACAAGCTAGAAGCCGCTCGGCCCTCTAAGAGATCTCTAGTGCCCTACCCGGGGCGACTCTCCTTTTAGTAG